ATATGTGATTTAACAAAATACTTAGTAACTATACCAATACCAAATAAAAGTGCAAATACTGTAGCCAAGGCAATTTTTGAAAATTTTATACTTTTGTACGGTCCAATGAAGACGTTCATTACGGACATGGGTACAGAGTACAAAAATTCTTTAATAACGGATATACATATGCAAATACTTAAAAATCAAAAATATAACATCAACAGCTAATCACCATCAAACACTCGGAACTGTAGAATGCAGTCACCGAACATTTAATGAATATGTACGTTCATACATATCAGTCGATAAAAACGACTGGGATATATGGTTGAAATACTTCACATATTGTTTTAATACAACACCATCAGTGGTGCATGGATATTGTCCATACGAGATTATTTTTGGAAAAATTCCTAAATGTTTCAATAAATTCAATAAAATTAATAACGTAAGTCCATTACATAATATAGATGAAAGAAATAAGAAATTAAATATAGATTAGAAATAGCGCACACTAGAGCCAAAACACTTTTAGATAAGTCTAAATTAAAACAAAAGTTACTCTATGATAGAAATAGTGAACAATTAGAATTAAATATAGGAGATAAAGTACTACTTAGAAATGAAGTAGGTCATAAGCTAGATAGTCAATACACGGGCCCCTATAGAATAGAAAGTATAGAAAACAATGGAAATATTGAAATAAGAAACAATAAAAATAAGAAACAGTTAGTACATACTAATAGAATAAAATTGTACAATGAATAAGTTACAATTAATGTAGTGATTACACAAATAAATATAACTAAACTGAATTTAATTATATAAAATTATTGAAAATTAAAACTTCTTTCCCAAAAAGGAGGTGTAATGTATATGCGTTAGTTATATTGGCAATGCATACAATTATTATAATAATAAGTGGTTCTATATTTAAATGCGCAGTGTATATAAAAATACTCTAATTGTTTCCAAGCGCACAAACAAATGCACAATTCCACACAAGGAATTTGACACCACACATATCGGCGGCACTTTGCCTTCGATATAACCATTTGCTTGCCAGGCATTGACCGCATATACAACAACATCAACAGTAAGCGTACTCGATACAAGTGGAATCGAAGACGCTTACTTAGCAATAAATTATTAAATAGTAAAGTACTTACGCTGCGCCGTTTTGTACATAAAAACATATTAAATATTAATATAAATAATATAAAAATACATATATAATTATAAAATATTTAGTAAATAAGAAAGTACATACGCTGCGTCGTTATGTACCTAGGTTAAGTCGAAAGTAAAAAACTAAATAAAAATCAGAACCAGAAGTGCACTCATAAGAAGCGCACCAGGTTCCGAACTTTAAAACTTTCTTTAATTTTAAATAAAATAAAATTAATGTTAGCAGAAGGATCGCCAAATAATATCGGCGTTTAAATATCCTTGCTAAACTAAACATTATTACAATATATTATGTTTAATGTTATTTTTTAAAATAAAGACAGCAGATCCGCCTCGTGCTCGTAGAGAAGGTGTCTTGAAATTTGACGAGTTAAGAAATTTGACTTTAACATCAAATTTCTCAAAATTGGTCTACTCGATTTTTATGATTTTTTTTGGTATTGATAGCCTGATTAATTCTCTATTAGATGTATTTCCGTGCAACATTGTACCTGTTCTAGATTTTTCTAAAAATAAATTTTTTCAAAAAAAGGAGATTTTGGTCAATTTTTATTTTCCCTATAATTTGAAAAATACGCATCGTATCTCAAATTGGTAAATGCCAATCGAAAGATCTTTCAGAACTCTATAAGAATAATGTCTTTTGTTTTAGTTTAATTCCTTATATTAACGAAAATATCATTTTTTAAAAATTTTTTGAAAATACAGCCCTGCATTTTCCAGCAACGTTGCTAACTTGGCGCTGGTTTAATAGCAATCAAAATACATAAAATATTTAGTAAAACAATAAATAATAAATTATTTAAAATGTGTTCCAGCCCTAGTTATAAAATAAACACTAATCAGCAAAAATATAACTTATTATTGTATTACAATTACGTTAAATGCATTTTAGCATTGGTCAGCAAAAGACAAAATAAATTATTAATGTAATACTTAACATATCCTCCCCCGCGTTGAATTTAAATTCAACTTAGAGTGATGTCATCTTTATGTTGTTGTGATATCAAATGTTGACCTTGATCTTGGAAGCGGCTGAGGTGTCTGAACATTCGGTTGATCTTGCGTCTGATTGTTTCGTATTAGTTTAGTTATTTTTAAGATGATGATTCCAATAATCAAAAACAAGGCTGCGTACCCCACTGATAAGCTATGCTTTTCAGTTTGCTGTACCTTTGATGATAGTTCAGGTAATGTATCCTTCGTTAGTTGTTTTTGCAGAATAGTTACCATAGTTATTCTAATTGTGGAAGATATTCAATTTCGGAATTGTTTATCGACTTAGATGGCTTAATTTCAGGTGTTGAAATTCCTATGCTCGTATATGCTGATTTGAGCAGACTTGTTATGACTTGGTGTCCTTGAATAAGAATCGTGTTGTTTCTGATGACACAATTTGATGCAATTTTTACCATGCCGGTACTATTTAGTATCACTGGAAATGCATTTGAACCGCATACTGCATTGAGTTGCATCGGATATTTGGTAGCGTATATCTAGTGATTTTTGTGTTTCAGCTGAGTCCAAATGGTAGTTTCCTTTAATTCAACTATTTCGCACTCGTCACCTGTTCCATTATTGTATAAATTGATTTCACACTTGCACACATTTGCTCCACAACGATAAATAAATTGAAGATTTGAGCAAAGGTATGAGTCCTCTTCAGTTGTAATACACAATTGCAGTGCTAATTTTGTTATATGTTATGATATTCTACTATTGCCATGTAATGGTATTACAGAATTACCATGTTATGGTTATTGCAGGATGTCAGGATCGTCAATATATATTAGCAGGATTGTTAGATAAAGTCTTCTCGATTAATATCACCATATGATGTCTGAGTCCTGAAAGGATTCAAGGATCACTTATCGACCAGAATGAGTGGAAACGACTTATCAGTTTATTGGAGAGTATTACTAAGCTCTTCAGCCGCTTATTGTTCTTTCAGCATCTAAATGCCGCATAGAACACGATTCAAATAAAAGACGTAACCTTGTCTTAAGTTAAATTGAATCTATTTTATTATCAAAAATGATGGGTATTTATACTTATTCTAGCTTATTTACTAAACAATTATTATTTACTTTTTGATTGATTTGAGTAACCAATCAATCCATTGGTTACTCCCATAAATTACATTAATTAATTTATTACATATATTTTATAAACAAATACTCTTCTAACGCATTACAATAATACGTCATATATTGTTTTTAAAGAGTTAATGTACTTTCTAGAATTTAGGTCGGAATAGTGCAATGACCATACATGCTTATCATGTCTTATGTTACAAATGCATATTTGTAACAGCATGAGTCAAAATATTTCTTTTAAGTAATATGATCAAAGTCAAAGCGTCAAACCGACAAAAGTGCATATTATAATTTATGACACATTTATTTTGTCTGAATGAACAGTGGCTTGTCACATATGATACTAATGTAGGTCATGGACACTACAATTGATAGCCAGATATTCTGTTGATGGCTTTATTGACGTTAATACTTTGGTCGCGCTAGAGATCACAGGTACTACATGAAATACTTCAAAGGTTTTTCGTTCAACGAGTGGTATCATGATATTGAATATTACATGGTCACTTGATACTTGCCCAGTTACTTGCATTAGCTTATAAATAGTTAATATATCATCTTGCTCTGCTGGAAATTGTAAATGAGACGGTCAATGTGCTCGGATTTTCTCTCCTTCCGTTATTAACTGTTGCGGCGAAATAAGAAGCGGGTTAATTTTTTCGTGATGACTATCGATGAGAACATCCATGATTGTGGATTGCGTACGTTGCAAATTTATCGTGGCGATTGTCATTTGGATGGTCAGCATATTAATAATACTGCCATATAATTGGTCATGTTCGTCCTTAACTAACCTTTTGGAGATCGCGTTTAATTGAGTCTCTATACCGTGGAAACGTTAATTGTAGAGTCAATTATTGATATTTGACTTTTGAGCAGATGTTTGAGTTTGTCATCATGCTCTTCTAGGTTTTTGATCGTGTTCGACATGTCACTTGCATAATTGGAATCGAGTACTCCAAACAGGGAGCTTGCTATATTCCCAACTAAATCGATTGCCCCTCTCTTATTTCGGGCGCTTGACATAAATTCAAATGCTGTTCTTAATTCAATTTCTACTTGCTGGAAATGATGAACCACAAACTTGCATGTTGAGTTTAAGTTGCTTTGATCACATAGCTTCAAAAGATTCAACGTTGAATCCTTTAGTATGTCCAGCTCTGTATTAAATGGAGCTAAATCGTAATAGATTATCATTTTCCAGTGGGATGTTATCAATTTTGTTGTAGAGATATCAGTACTGTAGTTAATTTTATATTGGAGGACACACGTCTCTGTTTTCGTGGAACTATCTCATTGTCCATTCGCTTTTCTTTGTTATGGCGATTCTCTTGTGTTTTAATAAGTTTGTTTTCAGGAAATAAGGGTGTTTGTTTGTGAATTGGTCGCTTTAACGTGCCTGTTGTGGTTTTGACATCTATGACTCGTATAAATCCATCATTACCCTTATATGTCTTCATTATTCGCCCTAAAGGCCATTGCAAAGGTTGTACATTGTCTTCCTTAAGAATCAGTGTATTTTCTTCAATGTTTTTGCATTCTTCACGCCACTTGTTTCGAACCTGTAGTTCCATTAGGTACTCTGCCTGCCATCTTTTCCAAAACTCTTATTTTAAGTGTGCAACCAGATTCCATCTAGTCAAAAGAGATAATTTTACCTTTTCACATGTTGCGTCTACGGATGCTGTTACTGCATCACCAACTAAGAAATGACCTGGTGTGAGAGCCTGCAAATCATTTGGTAGACGACATTGGTGTTAAAGGTCGAGAGTTTAAAATAGCTTCTATTTCTATAATGACGGTTTCGAGTTCCTCGTACGTTAACGTTTCAGCTGAAACGCTTCGGACCAATAGGTACTTTGCTGATTTAACCGCTACTTCCCATAGTCCACCAAAATGAGGTGCACGAGGAGGGATGAAGTGAAATGCTATTCCTTTGTTGCTGCAAGTTTTTGTTATTTGTTCCTGAGCTACATTGGAATGGATTGTTGTTGTTAATTCCTGCAACTTATTAGAGGCACCGACAAAATTTGTTGCATTGTCACAGTATATATTTTGGCAGCATCCGCGTCGTGCGTTAAAACGTTTTAATGATCCGATAAATGCTTCTGTTGTCAAGTCGCTTACCAGTTCCAAGTGTACTGCCTTTGTCGCAAAACAACAATAAACCGCTAGGTATGCCTTATGCGGACGTTTTCCTCTCACCTTATAATGCACCCAAAAAGGTCCACAGAAGTCAACTCCGGTATTAAAAAATGGGCTGTTTGGCTGTACTCGATGCCTTGGTAAACTTCCCATGACTTGTTCAAAAGTAATAGGTTTACATCTAGTACAACGAACGCAATGGTGAATAGTTGATCTTGCCATAATTTTACACTTGATGGGCCAAAATTTTTGTCTCGCTGCTGCCAGCAGTGTTTGACCGCCGCAGTGCATATTTCGTTCATGTATGTCTTTCATTATCAGTTTTACAATAGGGATATTGTATGGAAGGACTATCTAGTGCTTTTCATCATATGTCAGTGATGATGCTTCTAACCTTCCCCTCACGCGAATTATCTTGTGTTCATCTAAAAATGGCATCAGTCCAGCAAGTGTACTTGCAGGTTATACTGTTTGGCTGCGTTCTATCTGATTTAATTCTTCTCTTAGTTCTGACTGTTGTATGTACTTCACTATATGCCTGAGTGACAGCTCCAGTTCCTTAGGGCTTAGAGCCGTAGTGATATTGCTTAAATTGGTTCGCCTTGCCCGATTTACAAATAGCAGCATATATCCTACCGTATGTAGTAGAGTTCTGAATGAATTCGTGTGATTGATTCTATCGATCCAATGGATATCGTAATTAGTTGAGATTACGGCCACTTCCCTTGTCGTTTGTTTCCATTCAGGATTCACCGGATCAATACAAGGAGTTTTATAAAATTCGCCAGGCCAGTTGCTTTCGGATCCATGAAGAAAGAGTGGACCGTATAACCACAAGTTATTTCCGAGTAATTGAGCTGGCTTGATACTCCGTGATAATAAGTCAGCTGGGTTGTTCTTAGATCTTACGTGACGCCATTGATTATGCAAGCTTATTTCCTGAATTGCATTGATTTTATTTGCTATGAACTTTTGATGCCTTGCTGATGACGAGTTGATCCAAAAGAGAACGATTTCTGAATCAGTCCAATAATACGTTGCTACATCATGATTTATATTGTTTTTAACCTTTTTCATCAATGTTGCTCCAAATAGAGCTGAACACAGTTCTAACCTTGGAATTGTTTGTTTTTTGAGTGGAGCAACACGGGACTTGGAACACAACAATCGATTTATTAGTCGACCATCCATTAGTTTCGTTCGAACGCAGACTGCGGCTCCGTATGCCTTTTGTGAAGCATCACAAAATACATGCAATTGTATTGATTCAAGTGCTGGCATATGTTTTCCGAATATATGACGATCTATTTTAAAGTGATCTAGTAATTGTAGATCGTCATAAAAGGTTGTCCACCTAGTATATATTTCGGCTGGTACTGCTTCGTCCCATGTTAATTGTAATTGCCATAGGTCCTGAAGTAGTATTTTTGCTGTTACGAGTATTGGACCTAGTAATCCCAATGGGTCGAAAATTTTGGTTAGGTTAGAAGTAATGGTTCTTTTAGTAATGCTTTTAATGGATCCAGTTTTAATTTTATGCGAAATTGATCTTCTTTTGGTTGCCAAGTCAATCCTAATGTTTTGATTGATGTTGCGTCGTCACTTTGAAAGTCCAAATCAACTTCTTGATCTTCTTTTGCAATATTTTGAAGAAGTGACGGATGGTTGGCACACCATTTACGTAGCCTGAATCCTGCTGATTCCAACAAACCTTTTAACTGAGTTTGTATATCTTTAACTCACCAAGCAACGATGGATCTTGGTTGAAGGATAATCTGACACTGAATCGACCGTCTTGATACCTTTTCATGTAAGTTGCAAAATGAGACTCGCACAACTCTTCGGAAGGAGATAGATTTTTGTTTGCCTTTTCTGGTTCATCTAGTTGGCAGAACTGCTCGATAACCTTCATCGTATCTTGCTCATCTTCAGAGCATATTCCACAAACTTGTGGTAAAATAATTGAATTTTGGTTGGATATTTTTCCCATCACAAGCCACCCAAGCAATATATTCTGTAGGATGGGGAGACCTCTGTCAAGGTTTATTTGGCCGATGGACAATAGTTGATGAGAAAACTCGGCTCGAAGTAGGAGATCGATTTTGTTTGGGGTATTGAACGACGGATCTGCCAGATTGATGTTCTGAAGTATCTTCCAGCTTGTGCTTTTAATATGAATGCTAGACTGGTCACACACAATCTTAGGTAATACATAAGCCTCTATTCGGCTGCTAAATCCGTTAATTCTGGACTAGAAAGCTAAATTGATTCGTTGTTGCGCATCTTGTTTTTTTTGCCCCACACCTTCTATACATGCTGAGGTCTTTTTCGGGTTTTCACCTAACTTCTTAAATATTTGATCGGTTATCATGTTGACTTGGGAGCCGAAATCCAACAATGCTCTGCACCCAATTTCCCTTCCATTTTTGCCTTTAATGACAACACGTGCAGTTCCTAATACCACATAATTTTTCTGGATGTTGTGATTGTTGGAGTACAGAGAAGCAGGATTTTTTGATATGGATGCCTTCTTACTCATGGATGCTTTAAATGTGCCTTCTATATGCAGCAAGGTGTTGTGTTTCTTGCTGCATTTTAACAACTGCCTGATGTGCAGTCTTTTGTGAAGTGACCACTTTTTAGACAATTGAAACTTCGTTGCAATGATTTTATGAGATGTAGCCTCTTAGGTGGGGTGTTATCCAGGAACTGCTTGCATAAATGAATTGGATGATTATCTCTCTTGCATATTGGACATTTAACTTGAGCAGTGTTAGTTGTAGCCACTGTCTTAACCCATTTTTTGATTGATGATCTATTATTTATTGTTTCTAGCGATTGAAACCATTGTTCAATAAATTGAAATAGTACCTTCATAGTGATCAGGTCTCGATTGTTTGATAATGACTGCTCAAATGCTGTTTGTGTAATCTTGTCTAATTTCTTCAACGTCATATGAACAATTATGACGTCCCAATGTTCGACTGGAGTGTGCAGCTCCTTTAGTCCCAATAAACACTCTTGTGAAATGTCAATGTTTTAAGTCCAGAAGCGGTTTCAGTTGTCATTGCTGGTAATGCGAATAATTTGTTTAACAATCCGGTAATTAATAATCTACCATTATTGCATCTAGCTTTCAGAATCTCCCATACGGTAATGTAGTTCTCAGCTGATGCTGGCAAATGCTTTATCAGGTTTTTGGGCTCGCCAATCAAGTTAGTTGTTAAGTAGAACATCTTTTGGATAGATTTGAATGGTTGTTCATCTATAAGTTGTGTAAACAGGTCTTGAAACTCTAACCACTTCAGCTGGTTTCCGTCAAATGTTGAAATTGTTAACTATGGTAATTTCACTGCCTGAATTGTTGAATTGTGCTGGTAGTGAGAATTGTATGAATTTTGCTTGAGTTTCAAACAAATCTCCATGTCTTGGAGTTTTCGACTAATTTCATAATACAATTCCCTGGAGTAACCTTCAAAGAATTCTTTTGATGTAGAATGCCATAATTTTTCATTGTTGTTATCGAATGCTTTGTGATAACCTTCAATCAAAGCAAGCTTACAAGAATAAAAAACTTTATTTTGAGATTCTTGGCTTGCTATTTCAATTTCTTGACTGGATCTGTCAATGACTTTTATGAGTGCTCGATGATTACGCAACACTTTTGATAAATCTTCATTTTGTTGAAGTTGCATTGGATTTTGTTGAAGTCGCCTTGGAGGCTTTTTCTGAGCATTTTCTACCTCTTGCATTTCGAATAATTCCTTGTTAAAAATATCCAAGTATTTGTTTGTCAATTCAGTCATTTTGTCATAGTAGCCCGTGGTGAAATACTCGTCTTCTATATCTTCAACCATGGCTTCACAAGACAGTAACGTGTTGTGGTTCTTCTCTAACCTTGACCATTGTCCAGTTAACCGTTGAATTCTATCCTGATAATTGCGATTCGTCTTCCTTGCGGCTGGATCCTTCTTGAAGTTGCTGATTATCATCTCGATCTCAGCTCCTATAGCTTGTTGTTGATCAATAAGTGTGTCGAAATGCTCCATGAGAATACCGTTCCAATTTTTTGTCCATATAGGAAAATCACGTCGGGGTCACCAAAATATATTGGGGATGCGTTTATCCTCAATTTTCTATAAATGTGTATTTGTATACCGAAATTCCACCAAGCACATGTAACTTGTTGGACGGTATATTTGTATTTTTATATTTGTGAATATACCACCGAGCACATAAACCCGTTAGTATTTTGATGAAAAGAATAAATGAAAGATGAGTTTGATTCAAGTTTGTATCATCGAATGACTTTATTAAAGAATTGATTTATCTATATATACATTTTTCTTACAATAATTACTTATAATTACTTACTAAAACTTATCACGTGCAATAATTTACTGACCTAATTTAAAACAATAATTAATATCAAGCAAAAATACTACTTATAGTGAAACATAAAATATTCAGCAAAACAATGAATAATTAATAGCAAGCAAAATACATAAAATATTTAGCAAAACAATGAATAATAAACGCTTAAAATGTGTTCTAGCCCTAGTTATAAAATAAACACTAATCAGCAAAAATATAACTCATTATTGTATTACAATTACTTTAAATGCGTTTTAGCATTGGTCAGCAAAAGACAAAATAAATTATTAATGTAATACTTAACAAAAGTCACCCATAACCACCAGAACGTCTCTTGACTTTGTACCACTTATCAATGATTGTATTCCTTCGTAAAATATTTCAATTTCATCATCAGGAGCATCACATGTTGGTGCGTAAACTTGAATTATATTTAAATTTACCGGTCACCCCTTCATTTGCACCATTATTATACGAGCGGAATGATACACGACATTTGTTACCATATTTTTGAGTTCTTTTGATATAATAACTGCAACACCATGTTTGTTTCTTCTTCCATCGTCGCCACTGTAGTACACATCATAATTGTCTATAGTACAGCTTCCGTGGTCTGGCCATCGCATTTCACTTACTCCCAAAATACCAATTTCATGTTCCTGCATTTCCCGTATTTTTTTTTTTTTTATTATTTCAAACACAATATGTACAATAATATAAATACATGTTTCATTTGACTACGACTAGTTCATACAAAGAACTATCAAGCAGTTTTGTTACATTTCAGAATACTTATTAGAATTGCGAAGTTGTCAAAGACTTTGTGTTAATAGTAGTAATCTAAATTATTATTAGTAGACTACTAATTCGGGAGTAGATCTGAAGGCTTTGTTCGTTTAAGTCTTCTCAGCAGGCCAGATGTATTAGACAGATGGTTGACTGTTTCGTTTGGATGCTGTTGTAATCGTTTTTGGTGCTTTACTTCTGGATTACTGCAGCCACATATTCGATCTTCAAGTCCCGATGGAGGTCAGTATTCCAAATAAACCGCGGAGCGTTGACTAAGTTTCTTAAAACTTTGTTTTGAAAGTTTTGAATGATTTGAATAGTGGATTTTGGTGCACATCCCCATAACTGGATTCCATACGTCCACACCGGAGCTAAGACGTGCTTGCATATCATTAATTTATTATTTAGAGAGACGAGTGATTTTTTCCCAAGAAGCCAATATAAATTTTTGTATTTGGATTCTAGTTCAACTCGTTTTTTCTTTATATGTTCTTTCCATTTCAACTTAGCATCTAAGTTCATGCCAAGATATTTAGCTGATAAGTAGGACCACATAATTTCGGATATTTGTCTCGAAAACCACTGTTCAATCTTATGCCCAAGTCCTTTGTGCCAAACTTTATCAAAGGCTTTCGATACGTCTCGGAAAACTGCAGTGCAATTTTTTTGTTCTTCAAGTGCTCTTTCGATTTTGTCGCATATTCTGTGTATTTGTTCTACAGTAGAATGCTTTTTTCGGAACCCAAACTGATGACTCGGAACTATTTGATTTTCTGTGAGAACAATCTGTATTCTATTAAGGAGAATTCGTTCAAAGATTTTTGATAAAACGGGTAATAAAGAAATTGGACGATACGACGAAAATTCATTAGCAGGTTTTCCTTGTTTGTGTACCATTAGTGCTTCCGCTACTTTCCAATAAATTGGAAAGTGTCTTAACCGCAGAGCTGCATTTATTATTTTGCGAAGTTTGATTATTCCTTTGTTAGGGAATAGATTTAAGATCTCAGCGGTTATCTGATCCCAACCAGGAGCCTTTTTTAGTTTCATATTTCTTATTTCATTTTCTATTTCCCTTGGCGAAGTTGGTCGTATTGCTTCGTTTAATGCATTTAAGT